AAAAAAATCCCTTCCTTTTCCCGTTTGGCAGTGCGTCGCCCATATCGCCCTATTGAACACACCGCCCCTGCCGGCTAGTTAACTCAGCCAGGCTCTATAATCTAACAGCTAACCTTAGCGAGCTAGCATAGTTCGCTATATTTAGCGGCCAACAAGTGCTAGAGAGAAACATCCCATCCTCTCTCGCGGGTATCCGGTCGAAACTTGACAAGAAAAGTAATCACACTTACCTTTAACTTTCCCGAACGTCCCCACTCCAAGTGTGTCTCCAAGAATATAGTGTCCAATTTTCACTCTGCCTTCATGTTTCTGTTTTTCCGTCGCCATCTTTCCCGCAGTGGCCTAGCTTAGCCTTGCTACTGTGCTGTGCTGCTGCTGCGAGCAGACTAGCAGAACCGAGCAAGCAACTGCGACTGGGTCGTCAATAGTTACCACAGCCAAAAATGGCTAAACCCCGCCTATTTCTACAATGTATCTTCTTAACATCTGATTTCAAACTTAACCTTAACCACACTACTATGCTTATGCCTAACCCTAACCTTAAATTAAGACCAAAAAAAGACAATTTTTGTTTTCATTAATTTTTACGATTTAACCAAATTTGACTTTGTGGCTGTGGTAACTAGTGATAACTCCGCGACTGCGAAGAGGCGTGGAAAAAAAACTCTTCCGGTGTCATCATTGGGACTAGTTGAAGTGGGTTTTCAAAATAAAAGTCTAGACAAATTGCTGTCAAAGTGTGTGTATGTGCAATGGTGTAAAGTACTTAAGTCAACATGCTTTAAATTACTACTTTTTGGGGGGTATCTGTACTTTACTTTAAAAAGATAAGTTAAAAAGTTAAAAAGTTACGTTTAAAAAGTGCCCTCAAAGCTCATCACTAAGCTAAGGATCCTGGGACTAAACACCTCCCTCTGCAACTGGATCCTGGACTTCCTGACGGGCCGCCCCCGTGTTGAGGATCAGTTTGGCAGATGTGTTGTTACCTACCCTTACCACCTGGGGGCGGCCCGTCAGGAAGTCCAGGATCCAGTTGCAGAGGGAGGTGTTTAGTCCCAGGATCCTTAGCTTAGTGATGAGCTTTGAGGGCACTTTTTAAACGTAACTTTTTAACTTTAAATTTAAATAATAAAGCCCCTTAAATTGAAATTGAGAGAGAGAGATAGAGAGAGAGAGAGAGAGAGAGAGAGAGAGAGAGAGAGAGAGAGAGAGAGAGAGAGAGAGAGAGAGAGAGAGAGAGAGAGAGAGAGAAAGGCAATGTTAGCATACGTTTCCCATGCCAATAAAGCCCTTAAATTGAAATTGAATTGAATTGAGAGAGAGAGAGAGAGAGAGAGAGAGAGAGAGAGAGAGAGAGAGAGAGAGAGAGAGAGAGAGAGAGAGAGAGAGAGAGAGTAAGAGTTCCAAATCGAGCAGCAGCTGCTGAAAAAATGAGGTCCTACAAACATTGAAATTTACATTGGTTTTAGAGTGAAGTACATTGGGAAAAAAAGAAAAGAAAACTGCAAGACTGAATGGGAGACAAAACAAGAAACAAATGAAGAAGATAGGATTGTGAAAAAGTATCTATTTTTATAAAATTGTGCAGTAAGCTTAGCTAGCTGGATTGTTTACCAGTTGCTAAGCAGTTGCTAGGGACTCTCCTAAAAGAAGCTAGGTAGCTAACTAAAAAATTGTTAGTTAACAACACAATATAAAATACAAAAGAAAGACAAAAGAGAAAGGGCAAAGAAGTAAAACAGTTTTCTAAAGACACTAGAGACAATAATACAAGAAACAACGCTGTTTTGGAAAAGGTAGGCTTCTACTGCAACATTATACAACGGGTGGGTCTAATCCTTAATGCTGATTGATTAAAAGCACATTCCAGCCGGTGTCTATTCCATAAATTACCACCGGCTAAATCTATGACTTTACAATGGTTATTTAATCTGTTCCATCTGACTGTGCAATCCATTGTCTCATCAGCCCAGCCAGGCAAGTTATAAACTTGATAACTATAAAAAGCATCTAGACATTATCTCAAAATTGTTTTCAGACCTACATTTCGTTTTCAACAGTGGATAATTGTATAAGCCTTACTGTCTGTCTCTCCGACATTTGCAACATTGTTTCAATATTCAAATTTGATCTCCAGCTGTCCCATAGTAATGAACATGTAGGGGTCGGGAGTCGGGAGTCGGGACGAGACAGGCAGTGCAGGCAGCGTTTCTCAGTCAGTCGAAATCATGAATCAGCTGGCATCATTTTTATGGATATATACAATGAAAAAAGGTCACCTTCCAGACTCACATTAAGAATCTCCAATCCAAAGTTAAATCTAGAATCGGTTTCCTATTTCGCAACAAAGCCTCCTTCACTCATGCTGCCAAACATGCCCTCGTTAAACTGACTATCCTACCGATCCTTGACTTCGGCGATGTCATTTACAAAATAGCCTCCAACACTCTACTCAGCAAATTGGATGTAGTCTATCACAGTGCCATCCGTTTTGTCTCCAAAGCCCCATATAATACCCACCACTGTGACCTGTACGCTCTTGTTGGCTGGTCCTCACTACATATTCGTCGCCAAACCCACTGGCTCCAGGCCATCTATAAATCACTGCTTGGCAAATCCCCGCCTTATCTTAGCTCATTGGTCACCATAGCAGCACCCACCCGTAGTCTGCGCTCCAGCAGGTATATCTCACTGGTCATCCCCAAAGCCAACACCTCCTTTGGCCGCAATTCCTTCCAGTTCTCTGCTGCCAATGACTGGAACAAATTGCAAAAATCTCTGAAGCTGGAGACACCTATCTCCCTCACTAACTTTAAGCATCAGTTGTCAGAGCACCTTACCGATCACTGCACCTGTACACAGCCCATCTGAAATTAGCCCGCCCAACTACCTCATCCCTATATTGTTATTTATTTTGCTCATTTGTACCCCAGTATCTCTATTTACACATCATCTCTTGCACATCTATCATTCCAGTGTTAATACTAATTGTAATTATTTTGCACTATAGCCTATTTATTGCCTTACCTCCATAACTTGCTACATTTGCACACACTGTATATATATGTATTTCTGTTGTATTTTTGACTTTGTTTTGTTTTACCCCATATGTAACTCTGTGTTGTTGTTTTTATCGCACTGCTTTGCTTTATCTTGGCCAGGTCGCAGTTGTAAATGAGAACTTGTTCTCAACTGGTTTACCTGGTTAAATAAAGGTGAAAAAAAAAAAAAAAAAAAATGAAACGAAGTGCAGCTAGTTTGCAGTCTTTCCAGCTTCAGTTTGAAGTTATTGTGTTAGCTGTGTTGGCTAGCTCCTCTGAACAACAGTGTACTGACGAAATAACACATTTTCTATGCCAGGCGAAATCACGCCTCATTAGCTCATTGTTATGGATGTTACCAAATAAATGTCACTAGAAAACAGCTTACACAAATGCAAATACAGCTACTGTTGTTATTCTGGCTGCACTGTTTGACGTGACTGTAAGCAAACAAGGGATAAGAACATTGCCAGCCAGTATGGCAATGGAACATTCAGAACGAACAACTGGGTCGCGTCCATAGATACAAAAACAAAAAGACTGAATGACTGGGTCACGTCTCTGGCAACCGAACCAATAGAACAAACGACCAGCCGGCTTGGGTAGCAACCCTAGATTTGTGTCAGGACTATAAATTGTGGAAGGATGAAATAGTATGAATAAATGCATCAAATAAATAAATAAATATGGAAATATGTCAATCATTATTTGAATATTTTGGAAACCCGTTGTATAAAAGTGATAATGTGTCATGAACCCTGCGTCCTGAGTCTGTTTCTGCCTGTGTTGCCGTTTTTCTGCTCGATATCTCCTGTTTCCTGAAGGTTCCTGAACGCACCCTGTCCGGTTGCCGGGCGACGTTGCTAGGCGGGTGATCTCTCGATTACCCGCACCTGCTTCTCATCAGCCTCGGCACACCTGGTCCTGATCATCACCCCTTCTTAAGCTCTGACCTGACATCCATTCCCTGCCGGATCGTTAGCCATTAACAGTATGTTTTGTCAGCGTATCAGCCTCTGAGTATTAGCGTTAGTTTTTGTTATTTTGCACCTTGTTGACCTGCCTTGTACTTACCTCCGTTTTTTTCTGTCTACAGTCATTCTCCCGGAACCTTCACCCAACCCCTGCCATGCCATCATTTAATCTGCCACTTCACCTCCACCTACTCATCTCCGCCACTCGCTCCGTCTCCTGGATTATTCTGCATCTTTTGAATCTGTAAATAAACACTCACCTTCGTTCAACTCACCTTGTCCTGGTCTGCTTCTGGGTTCTGTCTTAGAGAATCGTGACATAATGCCCTCGAAGCCGGTGTTTGGAGGATATATCGGCACAGTTTGCCAACACCTGTGCCAATATATCCTCCAAACACCAGCTTCTCGGGCATTATCACTTAATTGTAACCAACATCACCAGTGTTGCTATGGAAATTGACGGAGAAAGCTAAGAAAAGTTTCAAAGGTTTGATGATGGGACAGAACCATTAATGCCTGTTTGCAGATCTTACCAGTTGCAAAACAAGAGCACATTTTATATTGAATACCAAACGAGGGCACATATGGAAAAGGGTTACTTGCAACCATTTCCCTTTCTCAAAAAAGAGAGGCATCAGCCAAGGCTGTCAGATCAGCATCTTTGAAGAAGCTGACCAGAGCAACGCATATCAAACAGTTAACTTATACAATAATGGAACTGTATTGATACAAGGCAGTGATTCAAGCCTCCAGGCTTTTGAGAATGTGTTTGCTACCCTAAAAGTAGAAGCTGAACTCATCTCAGAAGCTGAGGAAAAAGTAAAGGAGGGAGATGATGGAGAAAAGCAGGCCCCAACACCCCTAACAGCCTCTGTGCCCCAGCAAGAAGCCCTCGGTGTCCCGCTACCTATCTCACCTGCAGCAGACAGAGCCAAGAACATGCCTACCCCTGCTATGCAATGTTTCCATAACATCCTCTCTCTAGTTGAAGCAGAGGTCATAGAACTCAGAGAGAACATGCTTCAAGGGGATAACACTGTCCAGAAACTAAAAGAAGAGATGAAACAGTTCAGGGAGGAGAGCAGAACATCTATTGCTAAATTAGAAAGCAGAATGGACAAACTGAGTCAGACAAATGATGACCTCAGAGACCACCTGAGCACAACAGAGGAGCTAGAGCAGAGAGAGAGGTACATTGACCCCCTCAACCAGCAGCTAGTCATTATGTCCTCTGCATCTAGAGAACATGTCCACCAGCTTGGTACAACACAGACAGAACCTGAGACAAGAATAACCAGCATGGCCTCCACCACAAAGCCACATAGCCTGCTCCAGCCCAGATTAGCCAACTAGCCTCCCAGTCTGCTCCAGCCCAGGTCAGCCTACCAGCCTCCCAGTCTGCTCCAGTACAGGTCAACCTACCAGCCTCCCAGTCTGCTCCAGCCCAGGTCAGCCTACCAGCCTCCCAGTCTGCTCCAGTACAGGTCAACCTACCAGCCTCCCAGTCTGCTCCAGCCCAGGTCAGCCTACCAGCCTCCCAGTCTGCTCCAGTACAGGTCAACCTACCAGCCTCCCAGTCTGCTCCAGCCCAGGTCAACCTACCAGCCTCCCAGTCTGCTCCAGCCCAGGTCAGCCTACCAGCCTCCCAGTCTGCTCCAACCAGACAACCACCCACAACTACAATCGTTATCGATTCAAATGGGAAGTCCTTGAAAGATGATTCCTTAGACACCAGGTGTATACATTCTGGTGTCCTACAACTGAGAGTGAAATGCAGCTACTCAGTCAGACCAGGATTGACACCCCTGACAACATCATCATCCACACTGGCACAAACAACCTTCGTGCCAAAGGTGAAAATGTATCTGGGGCAGTGAGAAGAGTGGCAGAGCGGGCACAGGCTATGTTCCCAACAACCAATATAGTTGTGTCCAGACCAGACATGCCTCAGGACAGCACAACCAGACCCGGCCCATCACAACACAGCTCTACTAGACCCGGCCCATCACAACACAGCTCTACTAGACCTGGCCCATCACAACACAGCTCTACCAGACCCGGACCATCACAACACAGCACAACTAGACCCGGCCCATCACAGCACAGCACTGACCACTACTCTAGGGTCGGGCAGAACACTGTCCTTCAGAGAAGTGGACCACAGTATGCAGTCCACACCATGTATCATTCAGATCATCAGCCTACATATGCTAAAGTAACCTCTGGCAAAAGACACCTAGAGCTATCAGAGATAGGAGAGGTGCGCCAACTACTGCATCTAATATGCAGACTACTGGACTAGACAGACCCTTTAATTCACTCACACACTTTCACACACTCACACACACACACACACACACACACACACACTCTTACTCACTCACACACACACACACACACACACACACACAATAAACACATACAAGGGGTTGCAGATTGCATTGCATTGTATTGTATTGTACTTATTTTTTGTGCAATCTTATTCCATTCTTATTGATTTGTTTAACAACTATTCTTTATTTTATTGGCACTGGTATTATAATAATAATTGTATATATAATAATATATACACTACCACTCAAAAGTTTGGACACACCTACTCATTCAAGGGTTTTTCTTTATTTTTACAATTTTTTACATTGTCAAATAATAGTGAAGACTATGAAATAACACATATGGAATCATAGTAACCAAAAAAGTGTTAAACAAATATATTTTATATTTCAGATTCTTCAAATAGCCACCCTTTGCCTTGATGACAGCTTTGCACACTCTTGGCATTCTCTCAACCAGATTCATGAGGTAGTCACCTGGAATTCATTCCAATTAACAGGTGTGCCTTCTGTTCAAGAAATTCAAGAGAAAATGAACATCCTTGAATCAATCATTAAAAACAACAAAAATCCACTAGATTACCCAATAACCCATCAAGAACTAAATTAAAAGGTCAAATCTATAAAACCAAGGAAGGCTTGTGGTCTAGATAACATCAGAAATTAAATGCTGAAAAACAGCACACCTGAGTTGCAAGATACTGTGCTTAAATTGTTCAACATGGTACTAACTTCTGGCTGCTTTCCTGATGTCTGGAACCAGAGGCTCATATATATATATCAAATATGCAGAGGGAACACACAGAAGGGTGTTGTATAAACACCTGTCTCCGGATTACATCTTCAAACTAAGGGCAACCATTGCATCAATGACAGAGAGGGAGAAGCATCCATCCATGTATATGGGTAAGATAGTCTAGCTAGCTACATTTTCTGATGTTATACACTACCAGTCAAAAGTTTGGACACACCTACTCATTCAAGGGTTTTTCTTTATTTGTAATATTTTTTACATTGTAGAATAATAGTGAAGACATCAAAACTATGAAATAACACATATGGAATCATGTAGTAACCCAAAAAGTGTTAAACAAAATTATTCTTCAAATAGCCACCCTTTGCCTTGATGAGAGCTTTGCACACTCTTGGCATTCACATACTGTATGTTTCTAATTTTTTCAGAAAGTTGTTTTCATTTCAAGTTAAAGCGTACGGTTAGCTAGCTAGCTAACATTAGCTGGCTGGCTCGCTAGCTAACATGACGTGTATGATCTGTGTTGTAATATTATTTGTATGTCAGAGACATTTTCATTGCTAGTTATAGCCTAACGTTAGCTAGCTAGCTAACATTGAACCTGGTTGGTTAGCTACCTGCAGATTAATGCAGGGTAGTAACGTTATGAGTTGGGATTATGGTTAATTGTTTAGCTAGCTAGCTACATGTCTAAACAAAAGACTTGATTATGAAGGTAACCATTTCACTACACCTTCTGTGTCCTATGCATGTGACAAATAAACTTAGATTTTATTTGATATAGTATGTGTTTACCAGAGACGGTAATGTGAAGAACATGACCTCCACCAAAGTCAAATTAGGATATAACGTTAGGCTAACGAAACAGTGTCCAAGTTCTAAAATACTCCAGTAGAATGCCCTGCTTTTATTTCGTCACACTCACAACTGTAAGCTATTTTCTGTAATTGGCTCACCATTAACTTGCAAATAATGATCTTGTTGTGAGATTATTTTCCTGTAATAATGAAGACAAATGAGCTAAAGTGAAGATGTTGTCAGCTATATGATATGGTCATTATTTGAACTGGCTAGCCAGCTAACTTGACATTAACTAGCTAGCTAACAAGCTAGAACTGAACCAAAACATTGTTTAGAAAGTTGCTTTTAGTTGCCTGGTTTGCTAGATTGACATATACTAAATTCATTTTTAAACGGGTGGGTTTATTAGCGTTAAAAATACACTAGTTACGGTATTTTGGACCACCAGGCTGCTGATGTCATGCAGGCTGTAGACATCTTTGGTTGTTTAGTACATGGCCTCACATGTGAATCCTTAAAGAGATGGGTGGGGCTAAGGTTTAAGAGGGTGTGAATGATGCTGAATGGGTGTAGACAAAGAAGAGCTCTCCAGTAGGTTTACCAAAACATTCAAGGGCCATTTTCTCAAAAGTGAGGTTACAAGTTTATCAACTTTCAAAGCAGAATTACTTTCCCATTGTTCCTCAACTGTAGCATATGCTATACCATTTTCTAGCTCTGAGTCTCTACTTTTATCCAATGGAAAAAAACACAATTTCAAATGTTGCTACATTAAACCGAATCGAGCCGGTTAGTCACATATACTGATGATTTGGTTATTCTATCACCAACCAAAGAAGGTCTTCAACAGAACCTTAACATTCTACAGCAATATTGCCATAATTGGGCCCTGGCAGAAAGTATAAATTCACCTTAAACAACACCATTATTGAACACACTAAAAAATACTCATACCTTGGTATGACCATATCTGCATTGGGAAACGTTAATATGGCAGTGAGTGCACTCAAAGAAAAAGCCTGCAGAGCATTTTCATTCATTTAGCAGACGCTCTTATCCAGAGCGACTTACAGGAGCAATTAGGGTTAAGTGCCTTGCTCAAGGGCACATCAACAGATTTTCACCTAGTTGGCTCGGGGATTAGAACCAGTGACCTTTCAGTTACTGGCACAACGCTCTTAACCACTAAGCTACCTGCCGCCCGTAGTAGAGGTAGTAATGATGATGGTAGTTGTAGTACTGATGTAATGGTGAGGATGACAGTCATAAGTTACTTATAGTTTCATTTCCATGTTTAGCCTTTAATATTTATTATATTTCTACTATTGACTGTTAACATATTTTTTGGGGGGTATTATTATTTATTTATTTATTTACTAAAATGTTATATTATTATTATTCATTATTTTATTACAATGTATATTGTATACATTGTTGCTTTGGCAATATTGACGCAATGTTTTTCATGCCAATAAAGCAGCTTTAATTTGAATTTAAGAGAGAATTGAATTTACTTGTTTCCTATTGTCACATTGTTACAACACTGTATATATACATAATATAATGTAATAATATTATTTATTATTATTATAATATGACATTTGAAAAGTCTTTATTATTTTGAAACTTCTGAGTGTAATGTTTACTGTTAATATTTATTGTTTATTTCACTTTTGTTTACTATCTACTTCACTTGCTTTGGCAATGTTAACATATGTTTCCAATGCCAATAAAGCCCTTAAATTGAATTGAGAGAGACAGACAGACAGAGAGAGAGTGTGTGACATAACTGAGTTTGCTTGTTGCCAGTTAATAACCCTAATATCATTCATTATAACTCACTGAAATGAAGAGAAGTCAGCTGGTTTTATGAAGTGCACTCTACATAGACAATGGTAGGCTTCGAGGGGACTCCTATGGTAGGTACACCTATAGCTCATCTCTTGGCAGTAGTACTGTAGACTACTTTATCACTGACCTCAACCCAGAGTCTCTCAGAGCGTTCACAGTCAGCCCACTGCCACCCCTATCAGACCACATCAAAATCACAGTCTACTTGAACAGAGCAATACTCAATCATGAGGTATCAAAACCAAAGGAACTGAATAATATAATGAAATGCTACCAAAAAAACAATTAGGAAAGAACAAATTCAATCCCTTTTACACAACTTCCTGGACAAAACGTTACACTGTAATAGAAGGTGTAAACTTAGCAGTAGAAAACTAAACAGTGTATTTGACCTTTCAGCTTCCCTATCAAATCTAAAAATGTCTAACAGAAAACCGAAGAAAAGTAACAACGGTGACAAATGGATTGATGAAGAATGCAAAAACCTAAGAAAGAAATTGAGAAACCTATCCAACCATCTTTTTGGCCCTATAACAAAGAACAAACAGCAACAAAAAAATACACAAATGCAAATCTTAGAATCAACTATTAAAGACTACCAGAACTCACTGGATTCTCCACTTACATTGCATGAACTACAGGACAAAATACAAACCCTCCAACCCAAAAAGGCCTGTGGTGTTGATGGTATCGTCAATTAAATGATACAATATACAGACCACAAATTACAATTGGCTATACTTAAACTCTTTAACATCATCCTTAGCTCTGGCATTTTCCCCAATATTTGGAACCAAGGACTGATCACCACAAATTTGACCCCAATAACTACCATGGGATACGCGTCAACAGCAACTTTGGGAAAATCTTCTGCATTATCATTAACAGCAGACTCATACATTTCCTCAGTGAAAACAATGTACTGAGCAAATGTGAAATTGGCTTTGTACCAAATTACTGTACGACAGACCACGTATTCACCCTGCACACCCTA